AATCCTTTCTTCCAGAATCTTCTTCTCTTTCAATATATTGATTTGTCCATTAACTTCTATCGGTTTTGTTCTTTACTTTAGTCCACCCCTTCCCCTCCCTTAGTTTTCTATATTTTCATATTGCAGAAGCAATCAAACCAAATGTATCATTAACCTAAATACCATTTAAGCATCACAAAATGCCTTTTGGGGTGGTTTCTATGAGACCTAACACCAACTTCCAAAACTAATCAGATGGTATAACAATTTCTTCACTGTTGGAAAATTAAGGTCATCAAGATAAGGAATACATAACTAAAGCAGAAGTTATTGATGCTTAGTAGATCGAATACACCACAAACATCTACAAGAATATCCAACAAAGGATGATATAGTACATAAAGTGGAGTACAAAAAGTCAGAACTTGAAGTAAACATAACCTATAAAGCTAAAAATAGACAAAAAAAAACATACCAAGTAATCTGTAATAAGCTCGGTATATTATTGAGGTTCCGTCGATGAGCATGAGTTTGCCATTGGAAGGATCAATATTGGTTGACCTAATTTCAGTATGAGGAGAATCAAAAAGCCCATCTCTGCGTAACACTTGGTCTGTATCAATATTTTTTGCATAAATGGGTTGTGAAACCCTGCAGTAACCCTAACCCATATCACAAAATAAAGCATTAGACTGAGAAGTAAAAGGGATTTGTTACATGAAGATGAAGTTTTTCAATTTACCTTATTAAGAGATGTGGATAGAGGACAAATGGGACGTAACCTTCGGAAATGGGAACTGCTTAGCTTACTCCCTAAGTGAAATACAGTCCTCCACAGAGACTGAATTTGACAATGTAACAGTTGATGACATGCCATGTAATTACAGATATATGAACAACAACAACAATACTGTGAAATTACAAGTTCTGAAGGAATCCTTTGATCATTCAAATATGAATTTTTGGAAGAAACAATACTACCCAGATAGAATTTACAAGCACAGAAATTTGGATTTGCAGAAGGGGCGGGCCTCTGCAGAAAAGCTTTCGGATAGAATGTAGTTTGCACCCAAAACCTGTATAAGTTTTGGCAATTTACACCCTAAACTCTTGCTTTTAGCAATTTGCTAACTAGCCGGCCATTAAAGCAATGTTTGGCGCCTCAAAATTTTTCGAGCCCCCAATATTTTTTTATATATATAAATGTTGATAAGAATTTTTGGATAGAAAATATAATAGTAAATGTCTACTTTATTAAATATAGAAGTCCTTATAATAATTGAGAAATGAGATAGTGTTATATATTGATAGATTTGAAAGAAAAAATTGGGTAGAAAATATAATTGTAAATGTTTATTCTATTTAATGTGGAGATCATTGTAATAATTGAGAAATGGAATAGTGTGTAGTTAATTGTCATATTATTTCTTACGTGGTTACCTTATTTGTTGACTTATTCATATCTTGACAATTATCATGAACCAATATTACTATTCATGCATTTATCTTTTTTTATCACCCTTTCTATTTTTATTCTTTTTTTATTGAGTATTCTAAAGTATATCAAACGGTCAAACCTTTTGCATTATGTAAAATCTATTGTTGTGTGTTTATAAAAATAAATAAATTTAATTTTTGGTGTATTCTTTAAATTTCAAGTACTGCAACAAATCAATATTATTTTAATATCATTATATCAACTTATCAAATTCAACACAACTATTTCAATATCATTATATAAACTTTTTAAATTTTTGAGTCAAGATTTATTATTCTAACATATATTATATTTTTTCATTAAAAGTTTTCATTATTTACATGTTTACTTCATAAGGTCTGCGTTCCTTCTACTTTCTCAAGACTTCGCTTGTAGAATTATATTGAGTATATTATAATTGTTCAATTTATATAAAACAACTACAAAAAATAAGGCATCTCTATGAAGTTTGGCTTTAGGCCCCCAAACCTGTTGACTAGCCTATTGTGCTTCTCTCAAAATTACATGTAGTTACTTGTGTGATACTTAGTAGGCTACAAATTCAAGAATATCCCCCCCCCCCCCCCCCATAAAAA